TATCAAAGGAGGATTTAGACAGAATTGCAGAATGAGAAAGTAAGTTATTTTCCTCTTAAGCTGCAGAGTAAATCTGAAAAACACCATGAAAGTGAAGTCCACTCGACAGCTCTGGATAAATTAACTACATCAGATAGTGTCAAGTTACACGAAATCCAGAATTAATTTTACTCTTACAATTCAGAGAATAGGCCTGTGTCTTCACACAAAATCTACAACGTGTGACACTTAGGAAGCAGGCACTCCAAAAACAACAACTGAAAGAAAAAGTTCAAAGCTAGCTTCCAAGCCCTGCGGCTCGGGGAGGAGAGTCCCGCTCAGCGGCAGAACGCATGTTCAGCATGCACGAGGTCCTGGGTTCAGTCCCCGGTATCTCCACTAAAAATAATAACTAAATAAGCACAATTACCTTCCCCCAAATAAAAATGAATGAATAAATAAAAAATCCTGTAGCTCAACAATTATCGGGGCACTACAGGCAGACCCTAGAGATACTGAGGGGTGATTCCCGACCTCTGCAACCAAATATCTCAGTAAAGCGAGTCACAAGCATTTTTTTGGTGCATGTGTAAGTCACGTTACACTACACTGTAGTATGTTAAAGTGTGCAACAGCATCGTGTCTGAAAATCAAGGTATATACCTTAATTACCTTAAATAAAAGATACTTTATTGCTAAAAAATGCTAACCATCATCTGAGCCTTCAGTTGAGCTGCAATTAATTATTTTGCTGGTGCAGGGTCGGGAATATTGTGAAAATTACCAAAGCGTGACACAGAGACAGGAAGCGAGCAAACGCTGTTGGAAAAACGCTGGCAGGCAGAGAGACTTGCTTGATGCCGGGTTGCCGCCAACCTTCACTTTGTAGAAAAATGCAATGTCTCTGAAGGGCAATAAAAGCCAAGGGCAATAAAACAAGGTCTGCCTGTTCTAGGTCAAACCAAAACTATTTAGCAAATTCCTGAACACCGAACTGTGAAAATCGGAAACGGCGCTTACCGGCCTCACTTTGTCCAGGAGAGGCATGCCTTTGCTTTGGACAGCATGAAACTGCAGCTGGTTAAATTCGGTGGCAATTCTCTCCAAAATCTGTCCGGTCAAAAGGGGGCTAGTGGAGATAATTACAGAATATAATTCCTAACGGTTTTTAATTTCCAAGAGGACACACTGCACGATGAGCAACGGCGACGTTCCAGCACCCAGTGTATTGTAACTTCCTTCAGCCGATGTTTCTCTGTGGCCCCCGTGTTACAAGGCAGAAGCTAAAGCATCCTGTGTGCCATCGGTCTGCACAAGCCACATGCCCAGGATGTTACAGGACAGCTGGGAACTAGTTAAGGAGATGTCACCAACGCCGCCTGGCCTTGGCCACAGGGTCCAGACAAGAAGCAGGAGCTGGACCAGCTCAGTGTGGGTGCAATTACGTGTTTCCACCACCTCCTCCAGGCTCTGCCGTTCGTGACCTTCTTCTTCTTTAACCATCCTTCTCTCTCTCTCGCCCCATCTGTTACTTACACCTGAATCCTCCTCCACTGCTCTACCTGTCTCATCTCCCTCCTTCTAAGATGCCTCTAGTACTTCTAAAAATACCGACTACTGTTGTCTCCCCAATAAAATAAAACTGGCCTTCTAACAGCAACAAATCAAGTCAGTCAGAGGAGCTTACTTTACGTTTATGTTTCCCATATCGCTGAAGGGTGCTCTATCCGTATGCTCCTAGTGACAGGACATTCGCTGTGACAAGGTCTAATAAATGCACCTCCCAAAAAACACATTATAAAACAGTATCACTCAAAAGGAAGCTAACCAGCAAAGAAGAGAAATATAAAGGTGCTGAAGCATCTGCTGGGCTTTTCCGAGGCATCCTTCTATCTGATGATCACCGGCTAGTTAGTGAGGAAAACCACCCACATCACAGGAAGTGAATGCATCCACGCCAGGCCCGCCGGCCCTCCGTCTGCGGTTCACGGGGGAGCAGTTCCCTGGCAGGACCAACCCCAAGGTTAACCCCTGACTCCTCCCTGAGTCACCCAGCGTGGATCTATTATGTATAAACCATCTAAATGCTTCTTGGCCTAACAAGCATGATATATTTATCATTCACTTGCACTGCCCTGGTTTTCCCTTCTCTTACAGCCCAAAGTTACTGATCTGAATTTTTAAAAATCCTCCAAGGTGACTCTGAGCAAGAAGCAGCAACATGTCTATTAAAGATGGAACATCACAAAGGAGAAGTATTGTAGAAAAAGACACGAGTGAGGCATTTCTATCAAAAGGACAGAGTCGGAATGGACGAAAATGAAAATAAAACCAGGAGGCAGGGCTGCTGAGTGAGAACAAGCTGGCAGGAGCCGCTGAGGCCACAGGGAAGTGGAGCAGATCACGAGACACTGCGCCACTGGTCAGGTCAGAGGGACGCCGCAGAGACGCCGACCAGGAGGGTCAGGGCGGGAGCACGAGGGCAGTGGCTGAAGAGACAAAGACGGCAGGTGCTGACCACTTATTTGCACATCCTGGTCATGAGTGGAAGCAGAGACCTGGGACAGGAGAATCATTTCCTTTCTGGATGCCTCGTTTCTTAATCAATACCACAAGAGACATGGGGCACACACGCTGTCCTTGAGGCCCCTTCCAAATCTAACAATTCGATTCCTACAATGAAGAAATCCAACATGCCTCTACCGTATGACCAAGACACTGAACTAGAGGGACGCTCAGTTTGCTCTGGCTGGTTCTGCAGCAGAATATCCAATAAAACCCACGGAAAAACGGCATGGCTGTCATGTGACCATAAGAAAAGCTCATGTCAGACTCAAGTTAGATGCGTATGAGGGCCTGCGACGTGCCAGGTACTGGCTGACTGTATCTCAGCGACCGTCGGACCGCCCTGCTCGTGGTGTGAGCGGCCTCACAGTACAGATGGCACAGGGGGCTGAAGCGCCGTGACACGGGCTGCCCGGCGGCACACACGGTGCGCAGCTGCGCTCCATCCTCTGTGCCTTGGCGCTCCCCGAGGTGGGGGGGTCTACTCAACTCATTTTCTGCGTCACTCACCTACCTGGCTGATTCCCAGTACAGACTAGGAAGGTAGTAAGACAGCTGCAGTGGAACAGAGGAAGCGGTCCTCTTTTCCTTATTTCACAAGGTTTTTCCTGTTTATAAATTATAACTCAATGTGTCCTGTACTGTTTCTTAATGATACAATGCTAGTGCAGACACACGAATGGCAGTACTCTGGGCCTGTCGAAATAAATCTAAGAAACGTGGATGCTATTCCACACCTCAGAGATCAACAAGGATTTTGCCAGTGCTTTCACAAGGCAATTCCAAGGATAAACATCTTCTCCTGAAAGCACACTTCCCTGATTCCCTGCAAGGTGATGTGTTGGAGCTATAACCACTTACCACCTAAGTACATATGTATAACATATATTATATAACATATAGCATATAAAATTATATATATTATACATATTACATATAAAAACTTTATGTTA